TTTACCAGTCATTGATATTTCTTTCTTAAAATTTAAGAACTGGGGAGCCTCATCTATTGCTGTGTCCCAAGGTTCTATAAAGATTTCCCTTGCCTTTGGCTTCAGCTCATTAAACTTTTATGACCTTAAGATATAGACAAGATGACTATAAATTTGTCTCCCTCGGCTCATTCTAAAACTTACAGGACTAGATTTTTACTCTATATTTAGAAAATAAGAGGTAAAAAGAACCATCATTTTGCATCTGCATGTCAACTTTATGTAACAAGAAAAATTGAACATCATTTTTAAATGTTATGACATTGAAAATAGTTTAAGGGGCAGTTATAAATTGATCAAGAGACATTGGAGCCAGAGAATTGAGAGTACTAAAAAGGAAGGAGAAAATTAAAGAGGGAAGAGGAGAGATGTTCCTGCCATTGCTAGCCACATGACCTTGGCCAACTCAACTCTAAAACCTGTTCTTTGTTAGTAATGTACAGACAAAAATGCCTTCCCTACTGATAGCACAGGGAATTTAGAAGGGTAAGATGATATAACAGTACTACATAGATGATGCTTACATTTATACCTCTAACTTGAGGTTTTGACAGGTTTTGAAAGCATTGGCAGTAACCATCTTCCAGTAATTTGCCAAAATGACTAACACAGAGAGAAAGCGGAGAGGAACCCACTCTCTGTTCTCTAGGCCTTTTAGAAAACATGGAGTTGTTCCTCTGGTCACATGCATGGGAATCTACAAGAAAAGTGATGTAGTCATCAAGGGAATGGGCACTATTCATAAAGAAATGCCCCATAAAGGTTACCATGGCGACATTGGAGAAGTCTACCATGTCACCCAGTATGCAGTGGGCATTGTTGTGAATAAGGGCAAGATCCTTGCCAGGAGAATTAATGTACGTATTGAGCATATTAAGCACTCTAAGAGCCCTTCCTGAAACATGTGAAGGGAAATGATTAGAAAAAGGAAACCAAAGAGAACGGTTCCTGGGTTCAACTAAAGCATCAGCCTGCTCCACCCAGAGCAGCACACTTTGTGAGAACCAGTGGAAAGGAGCCTGAGCTGCTGGAATCCATTCCCACGGCATGATAAGTGTAAAACCTCTATATTAAGTCAAACAAACAACACTGGAGACAGCTTTAAACATATTTAGCGCAGGTATATTTATGTATCTAACTCCTAATTCTAACTAGTTGAAAATATTTTTAAGCCAAAACCAGTTTGGCTAAGTGGATAGAGCGTCGGCCTGCACACTGAAGGGTCCCAGGTTCGATTCTGGTCAAGGGCATGTACCTTGGTTGCGGCACATCCCCAGTGGGGGGTGTGCAGGAAGCGGCTGATGGATGTCTTTCTCATTGATGTTTCTAACTCTCTATCCCTCTACCTTCCTCTCCGTAAAAAATCAATAAAATATATTTTAAAATAAATAAATAAATAAATAAATAAATAGTGGTTGGCTCTTTTTAAAAAAAAAAAAAAAGGAAAGTATTTTTAAATTTCTTTAACCTTTGGGTAGAGGGCTCACTGTTTCTTTAATTATCTACTATATACACATTTTTAATCAAGTGGTGGAAGGAGAAGTCACATCATTTATCCCAGAAGAGGGCATCATTCCCAATGAATAAAGAGGGAATGCTTCTGATAAAGAAGGACCCTTCTAAGGTTTCAAATATGAAGATTTGTAGTCATGGGGATGTAAAACACTGCATAGGGAATATAGGCAATAATATCAAAATAACTAGGGATGGTAGCAGGTGGCTATTGGAAATATCAGGGGGAACACTTTGTAAAGTATATGATTAACCACTATGCTGTAAACCTTAAATGAATACAAAATAATATTGAATGTAATTGAAAACATTAAAAAAGAAAATAGCACCCGGCTGGGTGGCTCAGTTGGAATGTTGTCCTGTGCACTGAAAGGTTTGATTCCCAGTTTGATTCCCAGTAAGGGCACACACCCACTCAGGGTGTGCAGAGAAGGCAACTGATCAATGTTTCCCTCTCATCTCTGTCTCCCTTCCTTTCTCTTAAAATCAATAAAAACATATTAGAAACAAACAGAAACCTTCTTAACCAAAAGCATAATACCTAGAATTTGATTGATGATACTTTCTATAATCATTACCTAAATTGAATCTCTAATTGGAGGAACTCCAGACAACCTGGCAAAAACAGAGGACCTGTATAGTAGGCCATGCATTTACCTATCAGACAAGTTTGGTGAGCATATAGAATTATACACACACAGGTTTATAACAACATTAGGTGCCTGCTGTATTGGGCACTTTCCATAGATTATCTTCAAATATTACATCAAGCTGTAGCATCGGTATCATTACTATCTTCCTTTTACAGATAAGAAAACTAAATCAGAAGTTTGGTAACTTTCTCCATCACACAACTACCAAGAATTCCAACTGAGATTCAAACTTGTCTTTCTCCTAAGCTCATATCATCATGCTGCCTCAAGAGACCAGTTTTCTCATTAGAGAATAGCATGCAATGGGCAAGACAAATCGAGAACTAAAATTTCCACATACAAGAATTAATAATGATGCCGAAACCGGTTTGGCTCAATGGATAGAGCGTCAGCTTGGGGACTGACAGGTCCCGGGTTCGATTCCGGTGAAGGGCATGTACCTTGGTTGCAGGCACATCCCCAGTAGGGGGTGTACAAAAGGCAGCTGATCGATGACTCTCTCTCATCGATGTTTCTAACTACCTCTCTCCCTTCCTCTCTGTACAAAATTAATAAAAAATATATTAAAAAAAGAATTAATAATGAGGAAAATGCAAGTCACTTTAGAATAATCTCCCAAAGAACTATTTAATAACACATACACCCATCTTTAATATCTGTACTCATATGTTGTGTTTAATAGAAGGGAATTTTATTCATTTCATAATAGGCTCCATTTAATACATTTCGAATGTTATAATGCATCTAACACTAGTGGCAAATTTAATGGCTTTCAGTGATTCCTAAATGTGGTTAGAGCACAAAAAGACTAGATTCCTCACTCTCAGAAACTTGTCCAGGTCCAAAATCAAAGAAGAGTTGTTGGTGCTCCTTTTTCCAAGGATTGGCAGGGATAGACGCAGAAATGGAGAATTGAAAGCAATACTCAGGAATCTCACATGAGCCCTAGCTGGTTTGGCTCAGGGGATAGTGTGTCAGCCTGTGGACTGAAGGGTCCCAGGTTCGGTTCCAACCAAGAGCACATGCTGGGTTGTGGGCTCAATCCCCAGTAGGGGGCGTGCAGGAGGCAGCCAATCAATTCTCTCATCATTGATGTTTCTTTCTCTCTCTCTCTCTCTCTCTCTCTCTCTCTCTCTCTCTCTCTCTCTCTCTCTCCCCCCCCCTCCCCTTCCTCTCTGAAATCAAATAAAAATCAATAAGAATATTTTTTTAAAAAAGGAATCTTACAATTTCAGTATTTTGCAGGATCCACACTGAATCTTTTTTATTTAGTTGAGACATATTTCACATATAACCCTCACTGAAGTGCAAAACCTTATTGTTCAAAGGAATCTTCAAAATCATCTAGTTCAGTCATCCTGTTAAATTAAGTACTGGAAATATCTACGCAATATTATCAGTCAAGGGATCACCAAGCCTCTATAAGAATATCCTAAAAATGGGGAATTCATTCATTTACAAAGCTGCCTATTTCATCTACAGATAGTTTTGACTAATAGACGTTCTTCATATTGAGCTGAATCTTTCTCCCAATTTCCATTCACTGTTGCGAATTCCAAGCTACAAGAATCCCTAAAACAATGCCTCCTCACTTACCCTTCTTGATACTTAGTTCAGGGTTTCAAATGTCATTGTGACCACAGCTAACCTTGGATAGGTTGGTGAGGGCCTATTGAAAACCAATAGTCAGAACTGAGTGGCCCACCTACTGCACAACCCAGTAGCATATCTGATTTCCACTCCTCTCCACAGTGCTGAGCTTCATCTGGCCTTCACTGCGCCCAGGTCAGTGAAAGTTGGGAAGAGGCACTCTCTAATTATTTCGTTATCCTTGAGATCTAATACCTTGAGAACCTTTAGAAACCTCCTCAAAGAAACATCCTCAAGCATAAGTCAGCATTAGCATCTTCATAAAACCTGTCTTGACTGCTCCCTATTCCGCAAGCTCAAGAGAACTGACCATTCCACTGCGTGGTCTGAAAAGGCCTTCCAGAAAAAATTCTGGCAAAGTTATGTAGGTCTTATGAGTGGAAATGGATCAAATGGTTTCTCTTCTCTAAATCTCTAATTCAGAACCTCCCTTTTACTCATAAGCCATTCGCAACCATTCTGCTTCCCTTCTATCTCCGCGCCAGCTGAGCACATCCTGACTTCTCACTGCCATGCTATAGAGAGAGCCTCCAATGTGGGGAGGAGACAGGTGCTTATTGCCACAGGTATTTTGGACATTGCCAATCAGTCACAATGTGAAACTATTTGTTCATATTCAAGCTGGTCACAGAGAAGGTCCTGGGCAGTAGGAATTCCTGCTGCAAAGTACCCAGCTCTTTGGGTAAATCCTTTCAGATAACAATAAGACTTTAGTTGTAAACAAGGTATTTTTGCAACCCTGAAACACTACATTCTGGATTTTTGTGATGCAATCAGATTAGATCCACTTAACAGAAGAACTCAATGTTAGGTGTGGGTAGAGAAATGCAAACTGGGTAGTGAGTTAGCATCCTCTATATTTGAGAAACTAATGAAAATTCAAAGTGATTACATTTAGAAGAGGACAAAGGAGTCCATTTTTTTATTATTACAAACTATTTATGTCAAATAAATTCATAGTAAATAAGCTTTAAAAAAGCTTTAGAATGTCAAAAAAGGAAAAAAGCCAGCAACTAGAGCAAAATGTGTAATGAGGTTAGTAAAGTTTACGCTCGGCTTTAGAGAATTCGTACGTACTCAGTTGATTAAAACATCCTATATGATGCTGTGCGTTTTTACAAAAAGTGTTCAAAAGAAAAATAAGAATTAAACATTGATGACTGGAGTTAGCTTTAGCAAGGGATTGGATGTGAGTGTTTGACTGCTTTTTGTGCCTTCAAAGTTCTGCAGAAAATTCTGTCTTCTTTTCAGACCATCCAGAATGACTGAATTATTAGATGCCAGACTCTGTGTCCTAAAAATATTAAAAATAGAATTATTACCTTCAAAATGGGTTGACTTTCTAATCAAAGCATAATAGTGTCATTTGTTTCTTTGGTGTAACATTTATCAAATAAGTTAACTACTTTAAAAATCTAAAGTACTCTTTACATTTTAAATGCTTCACAAAAGCACCTCAATTATTTGACAGCTGCTTTCTGAGAAGTTCATATTTTCTGAATATCATCTGTTCTCAAATCCAATATCAAGTATATTCTGTTCAGAAATAAGTATCTGAAAAACTATTCTATACAACTAAAGTAGCCAATATCATCTTCTGTAATTTATTTTTTTGGAAGTCATAGGGAAGGGAAGAGCTAATTACAACAGTTTTCATATTGACAATGTTCCCTTCCTTGCAGCTGTAAGCTATGTTAGTTTCTTATCTAACACATCTGCCTTGCTTCAGCCACATTACTGTTTAGGCATTTGGCTTCCGCCAGTCCTCATTTCCCACCTCCCCTCCTCTTCATCACATGTCCATTACGTTAACATATGTCTCAAAAATTTGTCCTCCAATAAGCCTCCCATATAGCATATCAATTTTTAAATATATATTTTTATTTCTTTCAGAGAGGAAAGGAGAGAAAGAAAAAGAGAAACATCAAAAATGAGAGAGAATCATTGATCATCTGCCTCCTGCGTGGCCCACACCAGGGATGGAGCCTGGAGCCTAGGCATATGCCCTGACCGGGAATCGAACTGTGATCTCCTGGTTCATAAGCCGATGCTCAACCACTGAGCTATACTTGCCAGGCCAGCGCATTAATTCCATACCCCTTTGGCAGTTATGAAGAGTTTATGCTTTGTTCTTGAATTCAATCTGTTTATTGTTTGTCTCAACAAATTAAATTGTAAGCTTCCTATAGGTAGCATCAGCATCTTGTTTATCTCTGTCCCCCAATCCTTATAACAATATGGCACATAGTTGATGTTCAAATGCTATCTTCCCTCCCTTTTTCTCGTCATGTCTTTAAGAATCATAAGTGGGTTGTTTTTTTTTTAATCATAAGCAATTTTTACAAAATTAAATTTCTGCCCAGCAACTGGGATCCTCAGTGATTGAGCATCGACCCACGAACCAGGAGGTCACGGTTCAATTCCCATTCGGGGCACATGTCTGGGTTGTAGGCTTAGTCCCCTGTAAGGGGCGTGTAGGAGGCAGCCAAAAGATTCTCTCTCATTGATGTTTCTCTCTCTCTCTCCCTCTCCCTTCCTCTCTAAAATCAATAAAAATAAAAAATAAAAGTTCTGCTTTCACCTTTTCCAAGTAAAATGTTTACTGTAATGTTTGAGTCTGTGTATTGTTTCTAAATCTTTCATAGAACCCATCAACACTCCAGATTTAATTATCTCCTAGACATTATTAAACTCTTTTTAATGGCTTCAAAACATAAACGACATATTCTATTATTTTAGAGATTGCATTGTAACTTTATATTTTTTTCCCCAGTAAAATAAAGGCTGGCCGAAGAATATCATTAAAAAAGATTAGTAGAGGGTTGCCCACTAGGTAACTCAATATATCCTTAATTTTAATAAATCCTGTGAGATAGTTGCTCATCACTTTTATGTGCACTTACCGTGGAGAATCTATTCCACTATCTCCTGCCATGCTCTGATTTTCCGTTCCTTCCAAGTGTCTGTGTTCATGCTGGATATCCTGAGCCATCACTGGCATATGTGTAGTGTTCTGAAGTTCTAACTTTTGTGTGAACTGTTTTCTCATTTCCTGATTCTGAGCACTCTGAGACCAGCAAGCTGCTTTCTTTCCTGTGTCATCAACGCAGCCTTGTGGGGTTTCGGCCTCCGAGCTGGCTTTCCTTGAGCTGTAGTAATCAAATATGCTTCTCTCAGCAGATGCGGAGGCCGGCACACATTCAGCCACGCTGGGATCCTCTTCATAGTTACATCTGGATGGGGTCCCTGAATTGAGGCCACAGCTTTCAGCAGAGAGATTAGGTTTCTGGCTTACACCTGGGTTAGCGAGCAACGCAGGCTTGCAGCATTCACTTCCTTTCAGCGCTAGAGGCTCAAACCTCTGCATTTTGCTGTGGTACTCAGTCAGAGATCGCTCGGTTACCTTTTGTTTTCCTAAAGGACTCCATTGGCTCCCCCCAGAAAAGGAATACTCAATGTGGCCGGGCAGCATTTGACACAAATCATCATTCTCGGAAAAGTCATCCTCATCTAAATATAATGAACTGCAAGTACCGTCCTCATCTTCTCCTTTATTTTGATACAAGGCTTGGGAATCGTCAGAAAGCACCTCATTTTCTAGACTCACCGTCTCTGCTTCCTGCACAAATGCCTTTCTCCTCCGTGTTTCCTCTGAGTCTCTGTCTTCCCGCTCAGGTAGACTCAAATGGTCCACACCAAGCGGGTAATCCAAAAGACGAAGATTTTGGAATTGGTGTGTTGTGTTATCAACTAATCTACTAGCAGAAGATGCCTGGTCGATGGAAGGACCCGGTGACGGAAGGACATTCCGTGTGTCAGTTATCTCCCCTAACATGTTAGAGTGAGAATAACTTTCCCTCGAGTCTTCAGGGATTACTTTGTTTTCTCTACCATACACGTCACAGGTCAACCTGCTTTCCCTAAAGGAACAGCGTCGACTATCCTTTTGCAAAACACTACATTGGGAGTAATGTAAGAGGTGATCTCTAAAATCGTCACTGACAGGCTTGACAGTAGAGTTACTCATATGAATGGGTTCTGCCCTCAGTTTATCGTTGCCTTGTTCAGGACGTGGCTGTGTGGCCTCCCCGTCAGGGATTCGTGAGGAATCTAAAGTCCTTGACTTTTGGAAAGGCTTGCCCTTTGGTCTACTCTGGCTGGGTTTCAAGTCACTGGTCTTCTGGTGGCTGTGCCCTTTGGTGATTGGGCTCCTCCGGTGAGACAAACCCTGGAAAGGATTACTGATTCGCTTTTTGTAAATCAGATGAGACCCTCGCTCCGATGGGGTCTCACCAAGTGGTTTCTGAACTACGGCTTCATGTGGACTTTTCCTTTTGGGGATGGGCTGTGTGGCAGGGAGCTTGGGGTGTTTCTCCGGTCCAATACTTCCTGGCGGAGGCTCACTTCCCTGACTCCTGGCCTTGTGTCTGTCCCTGTGAGAATGGCCCCGCCTTCGAGGCTTTGCAGACCGGTCCTGCCTTTTCTTAGCTCCCTCTCTTGAAAGATATTTATGCCCGACTGTCAGCATATCAGTGGAAGTGCCCTGGCTATTGTGTTTTTTCTGTTCTTCGTATTTTTGCATCAGGATGGTATGTTTGATTAAGTTGTCCACCGTCAGGACGGGATTGATGCGTTTGATGATCTCATGTTCAACGTCTCGGGGGATATTGTCCAAGTTATCTTCATCTCGGACAGGCCATTCCTCCGGCGGGAACTGGGCAGAGAAACTGCTGTGCCCTCTTCTGGACTTCTCCTTTCTGGACATACTGCGCCAGAAGAGGCTAAAGCCAAACTTCTTGCCTTTGTCTCTGTCTCTTGTGTATGGTAAAGGCTTGGTGCTCTCAGAGACAGGATTCTCCTCAGACGCTGAGACTGCTCGGTTCTGTACCAAAGGTCTGGATTCCCCAAGACCTTTCTGGCCTTTTCTAGTCACTTCTGCAGCAGCTGGTGGTTCCTGCGGGTCCTGAGTGCACTCATCAGGGAAACACTGGCAAGATGGACAGTGGGAGACGGGGGCAGCGTTTTCTCTGACCAGCTCTGCCAAGTCCGCACAGCTCTCCACGCTCACCAGGTACGTGAGGAAAGCAGGTATCTCGCGGCTTTCGTCTGACCAGACTCTCTTATGTTCTTGGGGGTTTGTGTTTGTGATGAAGTAAGTCTGAGGAGTAACAATGAAGTATCCTTCTCCAGTGTGATAGATCTTCCTTTCTTTAATCAGAGTGCCCAGAGCGGTATAGAGTATATCTTGAGATGGGACTGCAATGCCTAAAACAAAAGCATTTTACGCTGGTAAATTCTGAATAAGAAACATTCTAATGAGTGAAGTCAGTCGCACAGAAAAGACCATTCAGTGGCTTGATGAGCCTAGAGCTAACGATAATACAATTAATATATGTAATTAAAATGCCAAAGAAACATTAACATTTGTTAACATCATCATTTAACTGAGTAGCAGGAATATGATTTGGTCCACACAAAGACATATGGCTAGGCTAATAGTTAAGTAGAGGAAAATAATCTGAGTTCACTAAAATGCAAACACTAAGTTATACAATCCCATTACAAATTTAAATTTTGCCTAACGAAAGTATTCTTAAGAACAAACATAGGAGTTTTTGAAAACAGTCTCATTGCTTACATCTTAAGAAGCTAAAGAGAAAATGAAATCCAGTTTGTGCTTGGGTGAGGGCAAACTACCTAAAACCTGGATTATGGTGGTTTTTCAAACTGGGAAGGTGATACTTTAAAAAGAAATTTCCCTTTCAAAATAGCAGGGCTTAAAATTATATTGTGAAAACAATGTTCAAAATGTGTGTGTAAGTGTAACACTGAAAGGCACTTCCCAAAAGCAGTCAGGGGTGATCGCTATTCACTTAGAAAACCCCACAAAGCCATGCAAATCAAGAGGTTCCAACCTCCATGTTCACTTTAAGATCATTTGTGAAGCCGAAACCGGTTTGGCTCAGTGGATAGATCGTCAGCCTGCGGACTGAAAGGTCCCGGGTTTGGTTCCAGTCAAAGGCATGTACCTTGGTTGCTGGCACGTCCCCAGTAGGGGGTGTGCAAGAGGCAGCTGATCAAAGATTCTCTCTCATCGATGTTTCTAACTCTCTATCCCTCTCTCTTCCTCTCTGTAAAATATCAATAAAATATATTTTTTAAAAATAATAAAAAATAAAATATATATTTAAAACACACACACACACAAAAAAATAAAAATAAAAAAATTCTCATCTTTATTTAAAAAAAAGAACACTTATGAAACTGCCCAGGTCATCAAGGGTATGCATCCAAAAAGTCAGTAAGTATCTTTAGGATGTAATTTCAAAAAACGTATGTTTTAAAAAATATGTTTCAGCCAAAGCTGGTTTGCCTCAGTGGATAGAGTATCAGCCTGCAGACTAAAAGGTCCCAGGTTTGATTAAGGTCAAGAGCATGTATCTTGATTGTGGGCACATTCCCAGTGGGGGGTGTGCAAGAGGCAGCTAATTGATGTTTCTAACTCTCTGTCCTCACCCTTTCTCTCTGTGAAAAATCAATAAAATATATATTTTTTAAAATATGTTTCAGAGAGAGGAAGGGAGAGGGAGAGAGAGAGATAGAAATATCAAGGATGAGAATCATTGATCAGCCATCCCTGCATCCCCCACACTGGGGATCGAGCCCACAATACGGTCATGTGCCCTGACCAGGAATCAAACCCATGACCTCTAGGTTCATAGGTTGACACTCAACCACTGAGCCACACCAGCCAGGCAGAATGTTACTTTTAATGTGTGCCATTCTACAATGGTGGAGGGACCAAGCCAAACAGTGGGGCTGAACACAGGGTCAATGGCCTAATTAAGTGATGCTGGACTTAAGGATGTAGATGTAGACGCTCTGGTCATTGAGCACATCCGGGTGAACACAGCTCCCGAGATGCGGAGTAGAACTTTATAGAGATCATTGGGGGGGGGGGGGGGGGTTCACCCACTCATGAGCTCTCCCCGCCGCCTGGCGGTGATCCTTCTGAGAAGGGAGCAGATTGTTCCTAAACCAGAAGAGGGATTTGCACAGAAGAAAAAGACACCCCGGAAGAAACCGAAGGGACAAACGCTTACGGCCCATAAAATAAATACTAACACGTAGAAAAGTGTAACACTGGAAGAAAATACATTAATATGTTAACCTTGGTTTCTTTTGGGTGGCCACACTATAAGTGGTTACTTTTCTATATTAACCACATTTTTCTACAATGTGCATGTTCATTTTAGAATGAAAAAAATTTTTTAAAAAACTCCTGTACATGTACACACTGGGATATGAAAAAAATGAGATCAATATATGTCGATACAGAAAGATCTCCAAAATATGTTTGTAAGTTTTTTAAAAAGTGCAGAAAGAATGTATAGAATGATCCAATTTATGTTATTAAAAAAAAATACATATACTCAAATCTAACTTATGAAAGTATACATAAGAAACTATAGACAATAGAAATGATCACCTCTGGGAAGTGGTGATGGAAGAATAGAAGGTGTGGGAGGGGCGGGGGGAGAAGATGAACTTTTCCTTTGCAGAGTCTGACTTTATTTATTGCCGTAAGTATTGTTTTTTAAAAAGTTAATTGGAATGTAAAAGAAATACCCTTATCAAGTTTGCTGATGTAGGCCTTTTCCTGGCAAGGCTCTAATGTAAGGTTCTATAATAGAAAAAAACTTGGATATCATCCAGCTCATTTGTGTTTAAGATTATTTGTAAAGAGAACCATCAAACACATGCAAAGAACTAACAGAGGAAAACTTGTTACCCTACCTGGGTAATGTTTCATCAAATGCTCCAACAGTGATTCCTGTGTTACTACAATCTCAGCAGCATTCATGTCAGATATAGCGCAGCAAAGAACTTCAGCCAAAGGAACAAACTGTGCTTGGGCTATTGGATTCATTTGCACTGGAAAGACATCACCTAAATTAGAGATTTTTAAAAAAAAGGAAAGGTGATAAATTTGATAGACTGTAAACTATTTGAAATTAGTGAATCAAGCACATTTATGAAGATTGAATAGTAGGTGGAATTGCTATTCTTTCATCAGTCCTTACTTGGAATCTGTTAACACGACATGCACAAGAACAGAAACTGTAGAAGAAAAGGGTTTATTTACATTGTAGTCCCTACTTTTAACAAGTTTGTAGTATTTTTCAGTCCAAGAAAGAGTAAGAGTATGAAAGTCACAAAGTACTATCATCGTTTAGGTCAGACAATGCTTATATGACAATCGTATTTCAAAGCATTTTTCATATTTTAAAATGTGCAAAGCCAGAGAAAGCTCAAGTAATTGTCCCAAGGCCTAAAAGCAAGTACAGTAGCAGGAATAGGTCTTCTGACACCTAATTCAGTATTTCCATCATTCCACACTTTCCCGATTAGAATGACTAAGAAGATTTGAACTCTTTGCTGCATCTATGGTGAGGATGAAGCCATTTTCAGCAACAAGACTGTTGACAGACCAGAAAATGTTGACATCACTCTGAAGGGAAACACAATTACTGTGAAGGGCCCCAGAGGCACCCTGCACAGGAACTTGAATCACATCAATATAGAGCTCAGTCTCCTTAGAAAAAAACACAAGAGGCTCCGGGTTGACAAATGGTGAACTGACCGCCATTTGCACAATCGGCAGTCATGATCGAGGTTGTGACACTGGGTCTCCGTTATAAGGTCAGGTCCGTGTACGCTCACCTTTGCTGTCTGGGGCTCTATTTGTACAGTGTAGGGTGTTTAGTAGCGCCCTCGGCCTCCACCCACTGTCTCTCTCACATTTGCAGCAGCCAAAAATGTCTCCCTTGCCAAATGTCCGGGGGATAAAAGGCACAGGTAGAAGAACTAGCTTAGAAATTATGAAGATTTTACTTCATCTGAGACTTAAGGAACCAACGGAGGGTGACAGAATCCCAGAAATATGCTGAGGCAGAGAAAGAATAATATTAGCATGGCAAGTTATCCGATCTCTGTGAAGTCAGAGAGAGAATGGGTAGGAATGGGAACTACGAGATGAAAGGTAGAAAGGGGAGTTTGAGGAGCTATTCCTGGAGAATATTAGGAAATTAAAAACCAATATGAAGATTATAAAAGGGCCCTGAGTCTCCAGGTGATGATAGTGTGGTTTCTGGCAGATGAAGCGGCAGGAAAGGAAGAGAGGCCAGCAGTGCTTCTAAAACCTGCATGTGCAGCTGGCAATCATCAGGGGACTGTGCTGATGTGATTCTGCATTTCCAACAACCTCCCAGGTGATGCCCACTCTGGATCGGCAGGGGCTGGGATGTTAACGACAGCCATGTTAAAGTTGCTAACCATTCAACAAATACACACGGCCTGTATGGGAGTCAAATGTCGCCAGAAGAAAGCCTAAGAACTGAGGAACTGAGCCAGACATTTCCTGCAGTGAGTTTAGAAGCTGCTACACTGCAGGGAATGTTGAGGGAAAGGTGGTGAGGACTGGCGTGGTGGGAAGGGTTGCAGCCAAAGCTGGTGAGAGACCCATCTATAATCTATAATAATAAAAGCTTAATATGCTAATTAGACCTGACATTCTTCCAGGTGACCTTCCAGACAAAGCCGGAGCTGCAATGGAAGCCTGGGTCCCCAGTGCCTGCCAGCGGCCAGAGGGAAGCCCAGGCCCTGAGTCCGGGTGCTGGGTGCCAGAGGGAAGCTGGTGCCGGCAACTAGGGGAAGGAAGGCCCAGTCTAGCACGAATTTCGAATTTTGTGCATCCGGCCTCTAGTAATAAGATCAAGGACTCCCTTAGGGAAACTGATAAGCTGTGTGCAGTTATACCTCACATTGGTCTGTTTTCTGGTTTACTTGCGCTTCTCTAGCTGGCAGACTGGGCCTCAGGTCCCAGCACAGGCAAGAACTGCAGTTGGGCAGCCTAGGGAAGGCCCCCCCTAACAGTGCTGGGGGCTATCCCACTGGATTCTGAGAAGCTAGAATGAGTGGCTAATCAATTCGTTAGCATTTCAAAGGGCAGTAATGAGAGATGGTGCTCTCTGAGCCAAGGGCAATAAACCTCTCTCCTTAACTTCACTTCCTCTGCCTTTCTTTTTTCCTTCCAAGTCAGAGATTTACTCTCTTCTCTTTCACATCCCTTTTCAATCAGACAAAAACAAAATTAAAGTATCATTTCAAATATTTGTATGCTTTCACATAACTATGTGCTATTTTAAATAAATGACTTTAAACTTTGATATATCTCTCTTCTTCATGTCCCAAAATGCTGCGATTTTTTTTTTCTTGTATGTGATCTTAAATTGATTATCTGCCTCCACTCCATGTGGACCAGAAGTCCTTAATTCAAAGAGGAGGGAGTGTCAGCGTAAGGCCTGTTTGGCTCAGTAGATAGAGTGTTGGCCTGCGGACTGAAGGGTCTAGGTTTGATTCCAGCCAAGGGCACGTGCTCAAGTTGCGGACTCAATCCCCAGTAGGGGGCATGCAGGATGCAGCCAATCAATGGTTCCCTCTCATCATTGATGTTTTGATCTCTTTCTCCCTCTCCCTTTCTCTCTGAAATCAATAAAAATACGTGTGTTTAAAAAAAAAAAAAAAGACAAAAGAAAAGAAACATTCAAATCTGTGAAGAATTTTTTTTTTTTAAGAATTTTTGAGCCCTAACTGGTTTATTTGGCTCAGTGGATAGAGCATCAGCCTGAGGACTAAAAAGTCCCAAGTTCAATTCTGATCAAGAGCATTTAATTTGGTTGTGGGCATATCCCCTGTAGGAGGTGTGCAGGAGGTAGCTGATTGATGTTTCTCTCCTAACGACGTTTCTAACTCTCTATCCCTTCCCTTCCTCTCTGAAAAAAAAAATTTTTTTTTAATTTTTAAAAATCAATAAAATATATTTTTTAAAATAATTTTTTAGAGTTTGAGCCAAACTGTCAACAATTGTAGGGAAGCAAAATCTCAACCAGTTGAGACTGCTCCAGAGAATGGCAGTTTGTGGCTTATTTTATACATTAAAAAGAGATGATACACGAGGGTTACATGAAATCCACTGGAGGGAGAAAGCAAACAGGGAGGGAGTAAAAAGTAAATTGATAGACACATGTATCTTTTAAATAGGCGGGTACAGTATAGTTAACAGTCAAAATTAACATGATAAAACAATGAGAGTATGTTTTGCATTGGTTGTGCCCTGAGGGACCTGGACAAGGGGGAGTTACCCTGACTGCTTTTAGTTAAAAAGCTTTCATTTCAGCCCAGCCAGTGTGACTCAGTGGCTGAGTATCAACCTATCAACCAGAAGATCATGGTTCGATTCCCCCTTCCCTTCCTAATTAGGGCACATGCCCCAGGTGTGGGTTGTAGGCTCGATCCCCAATAGGGGGGCGTGCAGGAGGCAGCCCACTGATGATTCTCACCATTGATGTTTCTTTTTGTTGCTGTTAATCCTCACATGAGATTATTTTTTTCCATTGATTTCTAGAGAGAGTAAGGGGAGGGGAAAGAGATGGAAGAAAGGGGAGTGAGGGAGAGAGAGACACGTCGATTGGTTACCTCCCTACCAGGGCAGGGAAATCTGCTATTGAGGCATGGTCAGTGCCCTGACCGGGAATCGAACCGTGATGTATTCATAATTCCTTCTGGTTTGGGGAATGCGTATTTTATTTTTAAAATGTTATGTATTTTTAATTTATTTTTAATTATAGTTGACATTCAGTATTAGTGTCAGGTGTACAGCATAGGAATTCAACATTTGCATACATTAGGAAGTGATCACTGCAAGAGGAAACAAGTCTACTACCAACTAGAAAGATACTTATCTTTTTTTCCTTAAAATTAACACAGCCATAAATCAGCTGCATTTTAGAGAACATGCTAAATCGCATGTAACCTCTGCTTCGGAGCTCCTTTCCAGACAAAGCTTAGCAGTTTCTCAGTACATTTCCTTCACCGTCGTTGCTAAGATACGTCTGCAGGTGCAAAAATCATCAAGAGTTTCTTATACAGGAAAGCAGAGTGACACGGGAACACCTGTACCGGACGCAGGAATCATTTTCAAGCTACAGCCACCGTTTGCACTGACTATTTGGGCATTTCTTGAGTTTTTGAGATACAATAACTAAAATGCAAAAAATAACTTTCTGTGTAGAAGATCCCACTTACAGACTTCACAGTAAGAGAAGGCCAGCTCTGTGGCTTGACCCTCCGCTCCTTACCTCCAGCGGCTGCTGACCTCTGACCCTGAAGAAGGAGTGAGGATCAGAGGGCTCGGAGAGGCTGCGGGGCAGAGTAAACAGTTCACAACAATGCTCTGTGTTTACACAGCCTGCCGGGGTGCCGGGAGAATGGGAAAGTGTTCAGGCTGAAAGACTGGTTTCACAAAAACTACCAACAAAGCAGAGCCACGCAGATTTGTGCCTGCTACAGTGAATGCCACTTTCTGTGCCAAGAATGTTTTAAACTTGCTGATGTCTTGCTGCTCTTCCCAGGGAGAATTAACCAACTTTAACCATATAGGTGGTATATAAACTTTTTTTTTTTACATTTGTGATAAAGCAAATTATGAGTTTTTTGTTTTCTTTTTTTATTACGGTATTATGTGTGTACATATCTTTCCATTGCCTCCCCCATGCCCATATATGCCCTCCCTGCCCAAGTTATGAGTTTTAAAACAATTACTTTTTATAAGTCTACTTTTGGCGGGGGGAATAACGGAAGGCAAATTAAACGTATGCAGCACATAGGTGCCCAGTCAGCAAATATCGAATTCAACTATCAAAAACTGATGACATCCAGTATGTGCCTGGCTTGGAATCCAACCAGCCACCTTTTAGCGGATGGAACAGCATTCCAACCAACTGAGCCATAAATATAAGTTTATGTTACATTGTAAAGCACCTAAACAAATTCTAAAAGGGCCTCCTCGTGGAAACCAAATCCTGACATTTTTAACTCGCGGTGCCTGC